CTGCTATTCTATTCGCACACCACCAGGAAACATCCTATTAACGAAAAACGTCCTTAAATCCGTTTTATCTTAATTTCAATAAAGGGCGTGGGTGTTTTAGTTGGTGTCTGTTCTTCTTGCAGAGCCACACCCATACACTGACAAAAATATGTGGAGAAGGATAAACCCTCAATATCCGTTTATGAACGTCAAATCCGTTTATAGGCATGATCAACTTTTTCATAAACCCTTTTTCCTCGGAAAAACCGGTGAGCGTATATCTTCTGTTGCAAATTCATATACCCTTGTACTAGTTTCTGTGTTGATAAAGGGTGTGGGTATGATGTGGGCGATGGTGTGTGGGTGTGTGAATGTGGGTGTGAGTGGGTGTTGGTGTGGATGTGAGTGTGCGTGTGGGTGTGGGTGAATGTCAGTGAATCGAGTGCTTACACCCACACCTCACGCCCATCCACCTCTCTCCCTCCCACATCCCACACCGACACCGACACCCACACCCAAACACCCCACACCCACACCCACGCCCACACCCACATGCACACCCACGCACCCACACACCCACACACCCATACCCACACGCATATCCCGCTTCGTTATAAGTAATATTCATTATTTTGAAATCGGTATCTGGTACCATGAGAATTTCTTCTTCACTGAAATGTTCTGATAAAGACAATATGTCAAGCGTTGATTTTGAATCACCAATTGACTGTTAAATGATAATAGGTGTGTATCCAGATTTTAGGCGTTGTTGATGTGCAAAATCTCAAGCAGGTTTTTTTTTGATTTTCATGTCAATTGAAATACTTTATTTTTTAATGCAAAACCAATAAAGTACTGTTCGAGATCTTTTTTAGTTATTAGCATATCTCGATGGGTTTATTCCAGAACAAATAAAAAGCGTTCAAACGAAGGATTTTTCATAATAACGCTTGAATAATAACCACTACATTTATGACATAATTTGCTGTATATTTTATTTCGAATTCTCTCTGTCATATATCGGTTTAAATAACCAAAAATGGTCCTTCTATGATAGAGATTTCCAATAAGAACATAGGATCGTTTGTTTCTATATCTTCGTTTCAATAAAATCTAAAAGATCGGCTGTGTTTCTAATCATCATTTTCTAATAGTATATTTACAATTTCGATGCTTTTTCACTGTTTTTTTAATGCCATGATCCTTAACACGTCCATATTTGATAGCATGTTCAAGTGCTTCAACATATTCTTGATCCAATAGCCATTCGATTTGTTTCATTGAATTTGTACCTTAATGTTTGATTGCTGATTCCTTTAGAAGAAAAAACATCTTGATAATGTCCGGTGTATCTGTTAAATTTAAATAATTACAAATGTCTTTATCACGTAATCGATGAGCTGATTAGCTATCAGTAAGCATCATGAAGAAAAAAAACTTTCGTTGGATTGTAAACTGTGAAATGTTTTGAGAAGAATTTTGCGATCATGAATTAAACGAATGATCGTCAACAAATCACCTATTTCACATGCAACAAAAAAATGCAATACAATCTGTTGCTGTCTTATTTTTTTGTAACTTCGCATGCTTTAGAAAATGTCTTTCTCTCTGTTCGTATGTTCGCGTATTTTGAGTTGTGTTTATTGGCGACATAAGTAATGAAAAAAAATTTCTTTTTGATTCTCTCAAATGAAACGATAATTTCGATTTCTTGTCTTGAAATTCTAATGATTCATAAATGGAGCAAATAAAAATAAAATATTATTTAACGAAAATCATGAAGGTTTTATTTACATTGGCATGGAAATTATATTTATTTTTACATAGTCGGCAGGTAAATTTGTTTATTTGGGAAATGATGATTCTAAGGAATTCAGCCAGGTGTATGCTGGAAAAAAATTTATCTTCTGTAATAATATTGGTTTCTGTATGTGTCAAGCTTCTTGTAGATGTCGTACATTTGTAAATTATTACAAGTTGAATTTAATGATATGATAGATTCATATTATTTCAAATGATTCATCGATGAAAAATCATTTATACAGTGATGAAAGAAGCCAATCATACATCTCAACAGATTCAAAGATCATAGAAAATAATAGAAAGAGGTGAAAACCTGAAAATATCCCGATAACAATTCTAGAGTATATTGTCAATTGCCAACAAAACAATGAATCATATTTTGTCATTACAACCGATACGGTACTTTACGATTTATACTATTCGTTTCAATGGGAAAAAATTTTCTCAAATCGTTTCTCTTCTTATAATACCCTAATGACGTTGATTAGTATTCCAAAAAAATACAATCCATACTCTTATGCCTTTTCATATTTGTTCTAAATAAGCAATGTGTGGGTACGGTTGTAATTTAACTTTTCTTTTTGAACGATTGGCAACGTTAATTGTAGGAACACATTTCACACTCACATACAGCGTTTGACAGTCCTCGTATCATATCAAAAATCAAACGAATGTTCAAACACTTCATTTTCTCCTCCTTCGAGAATAATTGATACGGGTAAGTGTGATGGCTTTTTCTCTTTGACTAAATATGCCTTTGCATAATCCATTGCTTTCTTTTTTTCTATCATTGATGCACCTTTACCAATCCATACAAATATTTCTGAGCCACTGTCTAATATGAAAACATCGTTCGAATGAAGTAGTGCTCGGTGAACATCTTTTCCTGTTGCTACTTTCTTGAATTCCAATGTTCCTGATGTATCAGTCAGACGATATAATTGTTTTCCAGATGATTTTATGTCATCATCTTCTCCTCCTTCAATTGCTGGCTTCACTTGACCATATCCATCTTTGAAATATGACCAAAAAGTTTCTTCTTTATCGTCTTCTTCCAGTACAACAACTTTGGGTAAACCCCGTCGTTCCTCATCCAAAGCTCGACAATAAAAAGTTGCTTTTAATCGCTCTTGACCTGATGATTGTTTTCCATTCCATTGATAGGGTGTGGGTGGGTGTGGGTGTGGGATGTGGGTGTGGGATGTGGGTGTGGGATGTGGGGGTGGGGGTGGGGGTGGGGGTGGGGGTGGGGGGGGGGGTGGGGGTGGGGGGCGCGCTGTGGGGCTGCATGAAACGCAGACCCACACCCACACCCACACCACCCACACCCACACCCACCCACACCCACACCCATCCAACAACTTGAACAACATACAGGAAATGGAAGGTAATTTATTTCCGAACCTGTATCTCTCCTTTCAATTTTTTCCTAACTAGACCGGGATGAAGTTCCTCTTATCAGGCGAAAGGTTCTTTTGGATAAAGAAGAAGAAGCAGACCAAGGAGAATTCCTTCAGAGAGAAAATGAAGAGTTCGATGAAGCGACACTAGCATCAACACATTTATCCTTAAACTACAATGATCTACTTCGTGGAGAATTCCAAGAGAGACCAGTCATTCGCAAAATTGCTGAACACGACTTGGATGACCCTACATTCTACTTGAGAGAGAAGTTAGTTGATTTTTGCCAAGCATTCTGTACTTCGATTGGCACTCGATTTAAAGAAGCTCCCGCTATATTTGAAACAATGGCAAATTGCCTTGACGTGGCAGTACTCTACCAAAAAGTCGTTCTAGACGAAACCGTGGATGTGCTTCAGTATGGACAGTCATCATTTCAAAATCTACTTGATTTTACGAAGAACAGCTCAAAACATATCAAGATTGACAATATTATACTCACTGATCAATATCTCGAGTGGAAGAAACGATGTTTGAGAGAATTGCAAGACAAGGAAAATTGGAACGTTTGGACAAAAGATGATTAAATTTCAACGATAAAAGTGATGAAAACTTTCTTCCCGAACAAAGATCTGGCAAACGGTATTGAACAGTTTCTACATTTCTATTCTCTGATGGTTGTCAAAATCAGAAGCGAAGCTGTCTGCGAGAGTGCTGCCTCAATCCTGAAGCAACACATTCGTGGCAATCGAGCTCTGGATCATGAATCCTTAGACAAAGAAGTGATGTTACATTGGAATGCACCACCGCTTCATCTAGCAGATCCATTTATCAAGTCCTGCCGCAACAACTACTTCTCTCAACTGAAGGATAAACACTGGATTTTCTTCAAAAAAGCCGAACAACATTGTCTATTTAAATTAGTTTCACCTGGTTCAGTTGTTTTGAACCGCTTGAGAAAAGAACAAGTAGAAAGAACTCCTATGTTGTACGAACAGTAACAAACAGAACAAAATGTTGCCATGTTTTCTTTTTACTTATATTTTGTGTCAAATAAAGTTGTTCTGTAAGTGGCACAAAAAAACCAGCTTTGGGGAAATTTTTTGGAGAAAATTTCAGCGGGGGGGGGGTTTATTTTTTGGAAGATTCTGCACCTCTGCAAGAGAATATCACGTATTTAGCAAGCCTGAATATTTGCGCAGTAGAGAAATAAGATGTCAAAAAATTCAGATAAATGATTGCCTTAAAAGTTTTCAATTGATCTCTCGTATGTTTTAATGAATTTCTCTGCATAAAAAATTATGAATGTATTTTTCAAATATATTCAAGAAAGAAAAAACAATATCGGTTATAAAAATAACTTTGTGTCAATATATTTGATACTTTCTTTCAATAAGGCTACTAATTATATGAAGAAAAATAATTTGAAATTTTTTTTAGACTCAACTCGAAACACAAATTAAAAAGTCTCTATAGAAGTTTTTCGGATAATCGTTATGCAATTCAAGACTCTTCAAAAACAACATACATCACCTTTAAATCTAATGAATTTAAGTATGATGAAACACTATTGTATTTGAAGCTGAATATTGAGGATTAAATAAAGAATTTTGATGAGACTAACAGATTTGTGACCAAAGCTTTTCCATAATATTCCAATGTATTATAGGCTTCCAACCATACGAAAAGACTTGAAATCTCAAAACTATTTATTACTAAAACAAAAATCTTCATAACATTTTGACTGACTAAAAACTTTAGCTGCTGACACCGATAAATCGTTTTAAATGATGAATATTTGAAGAAATTAGTCTGTTTTAAGTAAATATGAAATCAAAAGATAGAAATTTTGTCTTTTGGTTGTATGCACAAGCTACTTTCCAGGGTAAATCGGATCCACTATATTTCATAAACTTATTTTTAACTTGAACTAGATTTGTCATCGACATAATATTATCAACATCTTCGTATTCGACAAAGAAGCGTTTCATCGTTGGTGGTAAATACTTTTTCACTAAACTATGCCACGATGAACTATCGAGAAAAGGAGGTTGTCGTTTCGGTTGCGGAAATCTCGTAAAATGACGTTGACAATTAAATAAGCGCAAAGTCAATAAAGTTGATGAAATCAATAGTTGAAACAGAAGTTCAATGTTTTCTAGTATGAAATTATATTGATAAATTTTGACATGACGAAGTCGAGGAGAATAACTGATTGGTAATGGTTCGTGTATTTGATTCCCAAAATATGATGTAGAATCTCGAGGAGCCGCTCTTTTCTTGTCATTGGTAAAACGGAAATTGATTGTAAGTAATTTCAGGTTTTCAAATCGATATAATATGTGCGTCCAACGTACATGATCACTGATAGACATACTTAAACTTATAACCGTTTTATTGACAATACTCGGATCTAAATAGGTTATTGAATCAATTTGATCAGAGCCATTCAATCCAAAATACTTTAATGCTGGTAATTCGGTGAGCAAATATTGAAACGATAGAGCAGTTTGAGATTCAGTTCCATAAGACCATTCATTCATCAATTCAATTTTCAAAGAGACTAGTTGTTGCTTGAGTCCGCTTAAGATTTCGGGTATTTTAGTATGAAACATATGCAAAGGTAAATACGGAAGAGAAATCGATTTCAATCGTCCTCCGCCAGCTGAATCATGTAATCTTTGCAGTATTGTCTCAATACTACAGTCAGATACAATCGAAATAATATTTTGGGTGCAAAATATTCGTTGAAAACTATTATAAAATTTTCTTGTTGATCGAGTGAAATCCAAATGAATATTTGGTTTATTGTAGAGAAGGTCATTAATACGTTTATTGAGACCAAAAAAAGATCCATAAATTTCATTGCCTGTTAGATAATCGAAAATTTCATAGAAAATCTCCGATGATAGTTGTTCAAACGTTGTAATCTTATCAGAACGATTGCGACGATTTGAAGAGATCTTTCCTGAATTTTTAGTTTTGTTTGGTTGCACCATACTCCTTAAAATACAAAACTAGAAATCAATGCTATTTCTGCACTCACCGACACAATTTTATATAGAGAACATAATGCATGCTGATTCATTTACAATTTCAACTATTGCCTCTTGAAGAAAGAGGCATTCTTTTTTGTTTCATCAAATGTCTGCATTGAAGAAATAGAGGAGAATCAAAAAATATACAGAAAGAAAGAAATGATTCAGTTCATTTTTCAAAATAAAAACATATGCGTCATCTTTCATTTATTACTCATAACTTCTCAAATTGTATTTATGTTTATGCGGCGTAGGGTGTGGGTGTGGGTGTGGGTGTAGGTGTAGGTGTGGTTATAAAATAAAAATTCAAATCACACCCACACCCTCACATTAAATTGTTTATAGTCAATTGTCGAATCGAAGAATAGTTTAGAAGGATGTATGACGCATAATTATCAACATATCACTTATTTTGGTTGAATAACTCTTATGAGCGTTCTACTTGTTCAAATCTAAATGAATGGAATTTGAATTTGTGATGAACTATTTTCAAGTTCATTTGAAAGAATTTTGAGATTATATTTCAAATTTCAAATAAGATCCTATTATAATTTTTAACAAACTTGATATGTGTAAATCGAAGACTCCTATAAAATAAAGTCAACTTGCTACATATATCGTAATAGTACAATATTTAAAAAGAACTCTATTAGTTAGTCTCGTGTCATAGAAGAATTATACAATCGTAGTATGAATTTTAGTTCAAATTAAAAAAAATAAATAATTTCTAATTCAAAATCTAGAAAATGAAGATTACTATCGTTTTCTTATGTCAATATTTCATAACAAGAAGTATTTTCAACTGTGAAATTAATCATCCTGCCTCGTATCATAAAATTCTAGTAATTAGAGGATTTAGAGTTAGGACTTAGAAAGCTTGGTTTTTGAATTCATACAAAATTTCGTCATCTTTATGCTTTGGTGATTGTGAGAATTTGTGAATGTTTTTTTTTTTTTACATTCTTAGTGAATGCCCATACGACAATAGTTTATCTTCAGATATTTGAGAACCATTCTACTTTTTCTTACTGCACAATTATAAGAAATTAACATATACTTAGGAAAAAAATAATTGATATTGATAAGCAAAACATGTGGTTCAACCAACAGCAGATCGAAATGTTAATAAATATACTAATACTTTATACTATATTGGAGTTTTAAGCCTTAAAATCTTCACATTAAAACGTTCGAAAAAAAGGACGAAATTCCGTAACGAATGAAATTCCGTAACGAGCAATGTTTTTTCAATCTTTATAAAAATGCTTTCATTTTTATCCTAAAATAGACTCATATTCTGAAAGTTCGAAGACGACCACACAACTTTCATATTGAGTGTTTTTCTGTCTATTGTCTTCTTTCGTAGCAAAATGCGAAATTCTGAGTGGCTCTGAAAAAAATTTCTATTTTTTGAAATTCCTTAACGGCTGGTATTTTTTCTATAACTTTAACGAGCTTCAACGAAAATAAGAAAAAATTATAGTTATGATAATTCAGGAGAAGCTCTACTTTTGGTAGAAATTTCAGAATATTCCCTTCTATTACTACGGCAAAATAGGTTATAGAAGATTAAAAAATGAAATTCCGTAACGATTGGCCAACACCATCTATCTTTGAGACAATTTAAATTTCTGAATGAAAGGCTTTGTAATTATCTTGATGAGAACAAATAAAGTAATTAATGTTGGCCAAAGTGGATGCACGATCAGCTTGTTGTCATATATATATCAAGCATCATAGAAATTTCTATTATTACTATCATACACCTCTTGTCATATATGCATGTATGCATTCGCGTGATAAAAATAACGTATTGCTTTTTATGAAATACTTCAGCTATTTTGTCAAGAAAAAGAATAATGAATTCTAATGAAGGATTTATATAGTACAGATCAAATAAACATTCATCTAGACTTGTTTCGATACATGAACGACTACCGCAAACATTTTGATTAAGTGTTAAAGCATATCAAAATCAACTCATTTGAATGATTATAAATTATTTTTTCAAATCAAATTAGCTTAGTACATATTATAGCTTGAAATTGATATAAAACAATTGAGTATTCTTTTCTCTTAAACTTTATTTATCATTCATTCAATCAAAATAGAGATTAAGCTATTTCCCAAATCGTCACCACATCCACTGCCATCATATGGACGACAATTACATGTATCACATCCACGGTGATCACGATAGCTACTGCAAAGGCATGGCCTGAAGCACAGCATTGACATACAGAGTGAATTTGGTAATCGAAAGTTGTCTGGCAATGAAATAGCATGACGTTGTTCTTCAACAGATGCAGCAGGATTGACCGAAACTACAAGTGTACCACAGAAAAGAACAGAAATAACAATGGTCATGATTTGATTAAGCATGGTAAAAATAGTTTCTTGTAAATTTTTAAGAGCGACTGATTATTTTGAAGGATTTAAGATCAGTATTTATAAGGATTGATAAGCATAATACATTGATTCAGCTGACAATTTCATCAAGCACCAACACCTTTGTGTATGTTATTGATACTATAATAGAAAGAAAAAAATATCGCAAATGGTAAACTGATATTATTCTGTTTGACTTTGTCCTTCGCCTCCATATTTAAACTTTGATTTAATCATAAGAACCCTGGGAAAAACTAGATAAATCGCAAACACTTTAGTATTCAGGCAATTTTCTAACTCTAACAAATTTCTAGTCTTGAGTATTACAGCATGAATGATATTAAATGTAAAGGGTGTTTTATAAGTTCTGAGCGTCGATAAAAACTACTTTATATATAGACAAGAAATGATCCCTAATTACATATAACCATATGAGCTTCAAGTAGATAGTTCGATATTTCAGACACATCTAACTGACTAAAACCAACCGATTTATTTTAAGAGATATTCTTCTCATAACAAATATTTCTTCTCTTAAACAATTTCAAAATGAAATAAGATTTTTCTTTAAAAAAAAGATTATTTTACTTTTTGGTCAAACTAGGCCTCTGACAGCTCAGAGCTGTCGCAGGCTTAGGTCAAACAATATTCAATGTTTGATTTCCTATTCAATTATTTATTAAAACACCAATTATTGGATCAGTTGTTTTTCAACTCATTTTTAAAGTTAAGATTAATGTTTTTTCTTGTTCTAAAATGACGATGAAGGTGAACATTTTTCACCAATTGAAAACATGTCTCATTTGCTTATCCAACACGGAAAGATTGATTGATTGATTTTCAAAAATCTTCATTTTGGACAAATTCCAGCATTCGTTAGTAGAAATGGTTCTCTTTTTCTTTTCAAATATTCAAATTGTTTTATGAAAATCAACAATCAGTTCATTGCTTTTTAGTTATTATTCAACAATACTTGATCAAATAACAATTAATTGATCAATTTAATCTCCAACAATATCGAAAACAAATTGGTGTGTTCAACAAGAATCAGTTAAAAATCATTTCTCTTTTAACGCTGATAAAAGGTTCTTTTTAGGAAATCTTTGTTATGAGAATATCAATGCAACACAATCAGATGTTGAACAACTCAATACTGATCAATTTATTCTTCAACTTCGAAATCTAATCATTTGTCTTCCTTTCTTTGAAAAGAAGAAAAATCGCTTTTTGTTGCTCTTGAAAAAATATCAAAAATTGATTGATGAAAATCGAATTGAATTGAGCGAAGGAGAAAAACGATCTCATGCATTAGCTCGAACTTTATTAAGAAAACATTTGACATTAATTTTAGATGAAACAACAAGTGCTTTAGATTCGAGAAATGAATTCAAAACGTCTTTTCTTGAAAATCCAGATATCGAGAAACAATAATAATTGCACACGTTTACCAAAAATTGGAAAAACTGATCAAATCTATTTAATTGATTAAGGAAGAAGAATTCTCATGAAAAAAATCTTCGATTCCTATTTCAAATAATTTTTGATGGATTTAGTTCAAGGAAGACGTTGTTTAAGTGAGAATCAAAATGATTGAAATCGATCAAGCTAATTCATTAAAAAGACTTTTTTCCCAAGAACTCTTTGCTTTAATCTTTAATAAACGAATAAAAACTTTTTGAAAAGAAACGATTTTTTTCTTTAACTATTAAAACAGAGTAGTCCTCACTGAATTTATCTTTTTCTTGGTTTAATTCAATTATTTTATGCATTTTTGTTCACTCGAATTGTTCAAGTAATCCACTGATGATAAATGGAATCTATCAATTCATCATCCTTGTTTTCTCTTGTAAACAACAAAAGTCATTATTTATTACTGTACTTCAGAAGAATAGCATCGACGAGTTATTTGTGCAAGTTGTCTCTTTTATTCTTACTTATAGTATTGTGTTGTTGTTAGTTTGTTATTCTTCTACAATAGTAAGTGATAAAATAAATTGAATGAATACTGTCTCAAAAAATGAAATATTCCTTCATCAAGAATATCATATAAGTAATTGGTAACTAGTTTCCTCAATATAATATATTGAGTAACATCACTTTTCCTTGTAAAAAAAATATAATTGGCAATCATTTGTCCTGCTATAAAAAGTTTTCATTGCTGGAATTGTTGCAGACAAAATAATCAGAATCAAAAATATTATCTACAGTTATTGTATTTTCTTGCATACCGCTGACGAAGAAACTTCCCCTAAGTGCTGGAAAGCTTTTGAAGTGATATTTTGCCTATAAGTAGGGCTTGGTGAGAGTAGAAAAAGCCCAAAAGGATAAGGACCCATATGCCTTCCTTTCGAAGTTATGACCGTCGTTTAAGTGGATTTTCTGACTTATGACAAGATATTGACAGAAATATCGAATGACGAAATTTCGACTTGAAATTTTGCCCATATGTAGATTTCATAATCCTTAGCATAAGCTAAAACTTTCAGCGAAAATGGATGTTTCTTTCTCGAGATAATGAATTTGCACGAAATATTCACATTTCACAAATAGCTCAGAAAAATCGAGTTTTCTTGCAAATTCTCTATCTTGAGATAGAAACATCCATTTTCGCTGAAAGTTTTAGCTTATGCTAAGGATTATGAAATCTACATATGGGCAAAATTTCAAGTCGAAATTTCGTCATTCGATATTTCTGTCAATGTCTTGTCATAAGTCAGAAAATCCACTTAAACGACGGTCATAACTTCGAAAGGAAGGCATATGGGTCCTTATCCTTTTGGGCTTTTTCTACTCTCACCAAGCCCTACTTATAGNTGTAATCTGTGCGAAGACTGGCAATGAACTACTGGGAAGGTAGGAAGAAAGTACTTCAAACAAACAAAAAATTCTCATAATAAAAGTAATATTTCAAAAGAGAAACTGTGACTCAGATATTTTGTAAAGAGCGCAGAGTTCCTCAATTAAGTAGATACGATGAATTGTTTACTCACCGATGAGTCAACCGATGATGCACCCACGTTCGATCGAAAGATAAAGACGAGCAACTTCTTTTAGTTATTAAATACGAATGAGGTCTATGACGAGCAATAAAAATAATACTCAGATCAATCATTCTGACCACTGAAAACATCACGAAATAGAAGGTTTTTTATTCTATTCTAGCAGCATTATTATCGATTCCATTGAGCAGTCATCCTATTCCGCAATGTTGCACATTCCGGAACCAGTTCCGCCCGCGGAATCAGTTCCACCAATTCCGGAATCCCTCTAACCTAATTCCCAAATTCCTCCAAGTAATTCCGGAATTTCTTTAACTAATTCCGGAACTTCTCCAACTAATTCCGAAATTGTGACCGAGACGGAATCGGTAGAAATTCCTAGGAATTCCCGCGAATTCCATCTAATTCCCACAGATTCCGGAATTGCTGTGAATTCCGTCCAATTCTCACCGATTCCGTATTTCACGGAATTCGGCCGTCTTTGGAAGGGTATAACTTTGCAACACAAGACAACAAGTGAGGGCGAGGAGAGATGGTGTGATTCCATCACGGAATTCCGGAATTGTGTCCGAGACGGAATCGGTAGGAATTTCTAGGAATTCGGTCTAATTCCCACCGATTCTGGAATTGATAGGAATTCCGGGGAATTCCTACCGATTCCGTGTGCGAAGCAATTCCGGAAATCCGTATCGGAATTAGGTCGTGCTTCGAAGACCATAACTTGGCAACACAAGACAACAAGTGAGGGTGAGGGGAGATGGTATGATTTCGTCACGGAATTCCGGAATCGATAGGAATTAGGTTCTAGGAATTCCGGAATTGGTAGGGATTAGGTTGTTGGGATTGCGAAATTAGATGAAAGGGTCATTATAGGAATTCCGGAATTGAGGGAACTGATTCCGGGGCGGAACTGGTTCTCGCAATGTGCAACATTGCGGAATAGGATGTATTCTCCTCACCGGTGGGTCTCATCGCCTCGAAAGGGTTAAAGACCATGTGTTGCTTCTTGAAAGCAGCTGAATTTTACTATTAACTCCGACTTGTATGTATATGAAATATAAGGTGAAATGTGGAATACACCAATAAACAACATAATATAACTGGAAAACTAAATGAGTCATTAAAGCAAAGCGCACAAGACAATAGATGAAGAAATCGACAGAATACGTAAAAGGAAATATCCAATCGAATGAAAGCAGGGAAGTAACTTAGATAAGAGAAATATGCGCGTGTAGAAAGCAAGAGAATAGACAAATATGAATACTACCAATTATACATTTGTTTTATGACACGTTTGCGTATGTCACCACAGGACTTGCCACGATTGGAAGATCGTGACTCATATGTTTTCTTCCAAGCCCCGATAGATAGTGATAATATATAAACTCATATCCTCGCAGCTCTCATTGATTCGTGCATTAGACACACAAGACGATTCTAGTAAATCATGTATGCAAACAGTTATCAGTCATTACCATCTGATGCTGGTATTATTTTTCTTGGCAATGCTGGCTCTGGCAAAAGTTTCCTATGTAATTGCATCATCGGTCATGAACAATTTGAGCACGACTTTCGAACGACAGCAGTGACAACTGTCACTGAATATCATGAAGTCAACATCCCAGAAAAGTTCAACCTTCGAATCTACAATATTTCAGGATCGGTGGAAGCAAATCAAAAACGAGTTGAGGAAAATAAACGGCAAATAATGAAAGCCTTCGAGGAGTGTCCAAATTCAATCGTTATTTTCGTTTGGACACAGAACGGTGGACGAGTGAATCCAAATGATGTGGTTGCATTTAATGCCCTTAATGCAGCCTATGCTTTTCCAGCTGAATCTCTTGCATTCGTTGTCAACGATCTACCTCCTCATCGCAATAGTCGACGGAACTACGATGGAGAATTTCTGGCCACACTCAAAGTACTACTGGAACCCATGAAAGTCTCTGTCAAAGATATCATTTTTATCGATCACATTGAACCTGGACACGAAATGAAACTGACTGATGCGCGTACCAAACTCCTTGATTTGATCTCAAAACATTATATTCTTCCACAAACCAGGTGTGCCGATATTATTCTCGAATTGGAACAATTGCAAAAGGATCTGTGCGATATCAAAAATAAACAAATGCAGGCTGAGCAGGACAAGGAAAAATTCAAACGATATGCCGAACAGCTGCAAAATGAACTAGCTGATAGTCTAAGCAAGCAAATAAAAGCTGAGCAAGAGAAGATTAAGGCTGAGAAGGACAAGGAAAAGGCTGAACAGGACAAGAAAAAGGCTGATCAAGAAAAGGAAAAGGCTGAAGCAGAAAGACGAAAGGCTGAATAAGACAAAGTAAAGGCTGAACAGGACAAGAAAAAGGCTGATCAAGAAAAGGAAAAGGCTGAAGCAGAAAGACGAAAGGCCGAACAAGACAAAGTAAAGGCTGAACAGGACAAGAAAAAGGCTGATCAAGAAAAGGAAAAGGCTGAAGCAGAAAGACGAAAGGCTGAAGAAGACAAAGTAAAGGCTGAACAGGACAAGGAAAAGACTGATCAAGAAAAGGAAAAGGCTGAAGCAGAAAAACTAAAGGCCAAACAAGACGTCAAGCACTTGCAAAAAGAGCTAGACAATCGCAAAGATGGTGAGAATTCTTCCCTAGTGAAAACTATTTATCTTTCCAAGTTGAGCAAGAGTATTATTTGCGTTAGCACTTATGCTGTAAATATCTCCAATTTACGATTAGTCGCCTAGCTTAGTATTTATTTTGTATTGAGCCAAAGGACGAGTTATGTCACCTGCTTATCATTAAACTTCATATTAAAGCAGTTTTGACGAAAAAAACCTGCGAACGTCACAGTTCATAAGTCTTCATGACGACTAAGACCATAATTAAGTTGATATAAACACATATAATTAATAAATTAATGAGCAAGAGCAAGTACCCATAGTGGGAAAAGCAATAAAATTAAATATCATAGACTTTTACCTCGTTCATGAGATTTTCGCTTGAGAGGAGAAATTCTAAATAAACACCGAAAAAATTCCTATTTAAACTAGGCGAGTTCCACGTCGATTTCCAACTGACCCTTCTTCATATTAAATCACAAACTAGCGAAAGGATCCAGTTTATATTAATGCAACCATTGGGCATAGTGGAGAGATACTTTTTTATTATTGTTCCATCAAAATTGCTAAAAGTAATCTTTCTGAAAAATGACAACGATCACACACTCCTCAAAACTATCATCCTGACGTGTATAAAGTGTTAAGTTCAACTGAGCGCATTGAAACATAATTATTCTTGCTAGCTTATGTGTAAACGTATCTATGTCAAAAGTTTCTGTTACTCCATTTATTTTGAGCTTTCTCACACGTGCATTTAGATCTTGCCAAATCCCAGACGCCAAAGAAGCGTTCCACTAAAGTTCACTACAAATGTCAATATCCTGGCTGCCATAACGGTTGCGTTTCTAAAACTGATGATTGTGACTGTGATAAACTTATTACTCGCAATTGGGGTAATGGGGGTGGTTCCAACTATTATTATGATGAAGGTGCTGATGGTGATTATAGTTTTTTGCTTTTTTGTGGTTGTTGTGAAGGTTGTGGTCATCGTTCTTATTCCGATGGTGACGGCAGTGATCCTAATTTTACATGTAAAAACTGTCGTCACTCTTATTGTTACCGTTGTTGCTTTCATTATGTGTGACTATTACGCAACCAATCGAAAAACAGATTAATTTATGTCTCTGCGATACAAATCAATCTTCTGTTTGCAACTTTTGGTTTTTAGCAATCACATTGTCAAGATCTAGTAAACAATCTAACTGTCAATAAATATGTTTGAATAAAAATAATTTGAAACAAATACAGAGTTATATTCGCCGACTTGTTATTTATTTATATTTTCAAATATTCATCAGGGCTATAGATAACATTTTTTAAGAATTAGCGAGCGAAACAAAATTCAAAACATATTAAAAATATACAGTGCGAAAAAGTCGTTAAAGAGCTTTCATGTTTTCAATTTAAAAAATTGAACTGAAATAATTTTTCAGAAAACAACTGTTCGTTCTTCCGTAAATTGGCTCTCTCTGTATTGAGTTTCGGGATATTAAATGAAAAATTGGGATCATTCATCATTTATATTCAACGCCTTTTAGATATTGTCCTGAGTTAATACATATTGACCATGAGTGCGGGTGTGGGTGTTGGTGAAAAGTAGTCGCCGACATCCATACCCACCCTCACACCACACCCACCCAATTCTTCATGGACGCGACGATAATCGAATGCTTGAGCGAATCTCTAAATAGTCTATTGTCGGTATCAAGAAATTACGTCCGCAGCAACGCTATGAGACGTTGAGTAGATCACCGGAAACATTCATCAGTTCTGTCCGATTGTTAAACATATCAAACAGCTTATTATTCGCCTTTTCAATAGTCATCTGGCACACATTAGTGCTCCGAATCGTTCCAATCGCGATGAAAAATTAAATGGAGCTTGGCAGATGAATCGTATGGACTGTTCCTAAGTTTCAAAACGAACTTTCTAGATAGACTTTTCTCAATAATATGTCAACAACTTGCAAAATAAGTCCTATCAAAAATTCATTTGGTCATGATAAAAGCCCAACCAGTTAATCAGCCCACTCGTACCTTTTGTCATCGGTGCGAGTTGAGTCATAGTGTGGCGATGGAAACCAGAGTCTTGGATCAGTTGCTTGTAAAGCTTCTGTGTGGGATAATAAGACACGGCCAAGTAAATTTTCTTTTAAATCGGCATCATTCTTGTTTCTATGAGCTATTCAGTCGAACGTCATCTCTCGGGTACTGATTATGCAGAGACTAGAAAGATATTCATTTTCACTCTTAGCGGGACACCTATGTGTATATATATTATTGTTATCTGTTACATGGGCCATAGTGTTTGTTTGACGATGCGTCTTGCAGTGTTTATCACACTTCTGATAGTGGAGTGTTGGTGTGATGTGCGAGTGTCGGTAGATCGAGTAACAGGAGAATACGGTGTGAGTGTTGGCGATCATGTTTGGCTTCGCTCATCTCGCACAGCTTTGTATGCCGACGAACGATGGTATTCATCTGATGATGGCTCTCTTCTACTCATTGATACACGTCTCGACCAGGGCAATGATGAGAATTTAGGTAAATGGAATGAGACTCAATTGATTTATAGTCTTACTCGCAGTGGAACAGAGACCAATGTGACTGGTCGAGTGCGTCAATGGAGTTCAATTACCGCAATTACTTTTTATTTGGACATCGGCAATGCATCTTTGACGAGTAGCGATTCTCTCAGCATAGACGAAGTTCGAACAGTATTTCCTTCGTTCAATATTGAACAAATGGATATGAATGATCATCGAGGTTATTTCACATATGCGGGTGAGATATTCTTTCTTTAATACCATTCAGTGACGAGTGAATATTTTATTCAGACTACATGATGGGCGATAAAGGCAAGCATGCAGGTATCTGGGATTCCTCTAGTAAGATCATCCAATCGGGTATCAAAGCAGGTCCAATCATTCTTTTCAATTTGACCGAACAGGCGCAAGGTGATGTCGTCGTTCTTTCCCCTTTTTCTCGCTTTATGGCTACTTCGCTAAGTCAACGAGCGAATGTGTTAGAGTACGGTGTGATGGGTTCCATGTTGTTAGTACCTGCTAATTATAATCATTCCATGATTGTCTTCTACTCACCTCGCGGTGTCAATGAAGCAATGCGCGAGTGGGGTCAATCCATGCGACAAGCATTTAATCGAACCGTTAGATATCGTCTCAACGATATAACCATTAATTCTCTTGGCTATTACACGGACAATGGCGGCTATTATTATTATCATACAGAGACAGAAATGAACTATGAAGAAACAATAATATCTATTTCCCACAAGATCTCATTACCGTTTAATTACATTCAACTTGACTCGTGGTGGTACTACAAAGGCATCGGAGATGGTGTTTCTGAATGGTCACCTCGTCCTGATATCTTTCCTGATGGTCTTCCAATGGTTCACCGTCGTTTGGAAAATCTTCCTCTAGCAGCACATAATCGTTACTGGGCATCGGATACTATCTATACGAAGAAATATGCGTTTGTGATTGATCATGCGAATGGAAAGGCTCTTCCAAAGGGAAATGATTCATTCTGGATCGATCTGTTAGGTGAAGCATTTCGGGATTGGGGCTTGATTCTCTACGAACAAGATTGGTTGAATGTACAAACGATTGATTTCACACCAACACGTACTGATATTCATCTTGGACATCAATGGTTAACGTCAATGGGCAAAGCAGCTGATCAAATAGGAGTGAATATTCAATATTGCATGAGTTTACCTCGTCATGCTCTGCAAGCTCTGGAAATTCCACGCGTAACACAAGCACGTGTGTCCGATGATTATGCCGTTCATCTTCGTCAACAAGGCTCACAATGGAATATCGGAGTGTCGAGTATGTTGGCCGATGCTATCGGTTTGGCTCCTTACAAGGATGTCTTTTGGTCGAGTTCAAACGAACCCGAAGCTCCGTACAAAGTACCCGTAATGGAACCAGTTCCAGATCGAGAAATACTCATTGCCACTCTCTCGACAGGACCAGTCACACCCGGTGATGCAATCAATTACACAGACGTCAACCGAATCATGCGATGCTGTAACCAAAGGGGGCTCATCTTGAAACCTGATCGACCGATAACTTTGATCGATGCACTCGTTGCCGACTGGGCCCAAAATAATGGAGTTGCGCAAGGAGAACTCTACTCTACTCGATCAACGCTGTGAGTCTCTTTTGTCTCTCATCTTTCTTAGTCGGAATTTGTCTTATCTAGAAAGAATGAAACATTCCACATCATCTTTGCATCAGCCATGCGACGCGACTATTCAGTGTCTCCTTCGATGATCGGAGCACAAGCTGGACTCATCTGGTCCTATGACGATCCGTCGACGGTAAGAACTTTCAGTGATACTCACCCTCTTGCTGTTTCAGCGAACAAATGTAATGATTCATCATTCTGTCTCTGGTATTTGTCACCTGTGTGGAATTTTGCGGATTCGAGTAACACACAATATGCTCTTCTGGGCGAATTGAACAAATGGACAGCTGTCAGTCGACAGCGCTTCACTTGGTTGGAGTTCAATACAGAAAGAACGAAGACAACACTCACTCTTGAAGGAGGAACCATCGAAATGCTTCAATTGGTTGTCTATCACTCGAAATTGGGCGTCGTTCATGTCAATTGCTCGCTTTCGTGCGCTGAAGGGATACTGACAATTACTCCATCAGCTGTCACTTGTTCTTCATAAATTTCACCAAAATTGACAGATTAGTTTTTTAAATTATTCATACGAATATACTAGATCTATTCAGTGAAATGAATAAATACATGAAAGAACTTCTCAGTGATTTCATCAGTTCGTATTTCTGCAGATGACTAACAGACAGATCAAGATCGAATCTGAATTATTCGTCCTTTGATGAAATCTTTTCGATATGGTGGTCGAGTGTTCAAGCACAAAATTATTTCATTTTCAGAAACATATACAACTGAATTTGATCTATTGTATTTTGCTGTGAATCAATAGAATGACTTGTTCAAGATCGATCTGAGTCGATAGTCGATCCGGACGTTGTCGTGAAACGATTTCCGCGTTAATGTCGAGTGTTGAGTGTTGACATCACCTTCGAAACTTGGTTGAGCAGTGTCGATCGAATTCAATGACACTAATGTTATGCAACCATTGAACTTCAAGCTGTCAATCAATTAAAAATATTTGTTCGGGCATGATCAATGGTCTTATTCAGATTTTCTTGAGTTTGACAGTTATTTCATTATCTCAAACATGTTGTTCAGTATGGTCGAACTGATTTCGACACTGCGTTCATTGACATGTTCGACAGTTTGTCGCAGAATCAAAATATTTTGAGTGATTGAAATCGATTGACTACTTTATCCACGAGTTCAGTGTGTATTGAAAATTCAAATTAGATTGTTCAAATAAAGAATTTTGCCGAGACGACCAAAAGCAAATCGGTAATCACAATCATTGGCAAAATCAATGAAGGCTGTGGGGTGTGGGTGTGGATGTGACTGTACGTATTTACTTCAGCATCCACACTCAGACCCACCACACCCACACCCACACCCACATCCCACACCCCCTAGGAAACTGCAAAATCACTTTTTAGTCCCGGTCCCGGTCTTTGACAATGGTTTCATTTCTAAAATCGAGCAACTTTTTTTTACGATCTGTGTACTTTTATGAATACATAAAATTGACATGAATGATTTTGATTCGTTAAGAGTACGAAAATTCTTTTATATCCAATGTTAAAGTGAAAGAATTTCACTGAAAGCTAGAATAAAAAAAAATAACCATTGAATTTTGTTAAAAAATCTCATATACTTCCTAGCAGTCATTTACTTATTTCTCTGTTCTTTTATATCTACTGCTCTACCTAATGGATTTATTATCGAATTGATTATTTATAGTGAGTAGTGATTACGATTGTCAAAAAAAAAACGGCGATACATATCTATTTACTATTATCTGATAAGACTTCAATAAAGGAATCATCAAAGAATGAACAAATTAAACTTACGTATATAGTGTTGTGTTGGTTATTTTATATGTATTCAAAAACTTGTGCAATTGGAAAACTCAGATTCTTGCAAACAGACTCGTAATCAGTAAAGACTTTTATAGAAATAGCAAATAAAAATATCTGATTTACAGATCTTAAATCATGTCAAAATAATAAACGGGAAAATATATTGCAGGAACACTG